CCCTAACCTGGTCAGGGGTGGAACCAGGATTTGCCAGACTGTGGAGAGGAGGGGTAATGTCCCCGACAAGAAAAGTGGGCGTGGTTGGGTGTCGCTCAAAGTGTTTTGAAAGTGGTCCAGGTGGCGAAGCCCTCCAAAAATATGACAATTTAAAGGTACGTTTTAATGGCTTCCCGTATTTAATCGATTTCAAAGATAGGTAGTATTCTAATATGTAGAAAATACATATAATTTTTATTTTCTTCCAGACGAATTGTAGTTTACTTCGCGACAGGGGAACCATCCAGCCACCACTGGCGCCACCCCTGGGTCCGGGTAAAAGCCTCCTCATTTGCTTTAGGTGTGAGTTGTGGTAACTTCGACAGTTGCAACTTGTCATTATTCTATTTATAAATTCTGTTCTATTTATAAATTCAAACATTCAGTACGGTAATACATGGTCTCTTTTATCATTTTAATCACTTTCTAAATATAGAAATATTAATTTGTATCCGTCTTTCATTGGAATACAATTTTTTTAATTCAACAGTCCAAAACATGTATATTGCTGTAGCATGTTACTGTTAAACAGAAACTCTGCAGGAACCCTGCAACGACTGTTTATAGAAACGAGTCTCCTTCAAAACAGTTTGTGAGATAGGCCTGGTTATTTTTTATGTAGAATCTATTTATGATTCATTAACATTTTTTTAAACAAATCATAGGCGAATAACCTTTAATGAGCTACTCAAGGAAGTGACATAATTTTTTTCTTCATTACAAAAAAATGTATACTTAAAACAGCTGTTTCCATTTTCATATTCTGGTGACCGCTAACCGACAAGTACACTTAGATCCAGGGTCCTCAAAATAGCATGCACATAAAACAGCTGATCGGAGCTCGAGAGGTTTGCCCAAGGTTTCATTACAGATAAATTTACGGATTTTCTTTCTTTCTTTATTCAATTTCTCTGCCTTAAAACAAAATAAAAATTGATTGACATTAGGCAGAGTGAAACCAGCACAGATACGCATATCCATAAATCGTTGGTCATAATTTATTTAAGAACCACACTAAAAGTTTGGCTAGGCTCAATGTTGTTACTTGTTTACCGAATTCAGGCACAAAATGTTCTTATTTGGTTTTTATTTTACACACTTTTTCAAAAATAGAGAATTTTACAGAATTATAGAATTATTGTACAGCAATTATGAGAAAGCAGTATTCTTATAAAAAAAAAAATGTGTTCTTTTTTTAACATCTAAGAACAAGTTAGATTGTCAATTGCTAAATTGTCGGTACCAATAATAATTAATCTTATATTTAATTATAATATAGAGAAAATTATCGATTGTTCTCAATTTATAATAGGCCTGTTTATAATAGGTACCGGTATCTGTTGTTTGTGCATGATTAAAAAAGAAACTTTAATGCGGCTGGTCAACTTAACGCTATAGGCCTGGTGAATAATATATTGAATTATTTGTTTGGTTGAAGAAAATCAACAGTTAAGGAGAAAAACTCAACAGCTGATATGAGATTTTAATAATATTACATATAATGTAACTTACTGGGCGTCATTCGCATGATATTGCTTTTCCAGCTGACACAACGCAAGAATGTTAAACATAACTTAACGCTATAGGCCTGGTTAATAAAATATTGAATTATTTGTTTAATGGTTGAAAAAAAATCAACAGTTAAAGAGAAAAACTCAAGAGCTGATATGAGATTTTAATAATTACATATTATGTAATTTACTGGGCGTCATTCGCATGATATTGCTTTTCCAGCTGACACAACGCAAGAATGTTAAACATCATAGTAAAATAAACAACATATGGAAACATTTTAGTGACGTCATAACAACGTTATGTCATGATTATACATTTAAAATAGTTACTTATTAATGTAAACGTACAATTTCAGTTAATTTTACAACTTCAGAGTCATTTAAGCATTACATTTTGTCAAAAAACAGATTTTTGAGTATGTTTTCTTTCTACACAATTTATCAAAATGTAGGATTATTTTGGAGAGAAAATATCACTAAGCCTTTACGGGTTCTCTATCCAGATTTGTAAGATTTGTTAAATAAAAGGTCTCATTTAAACGTGTTGTTTGTTCTAAATTATTTTTCCCTCTTAGTAGCTTAAGTTGTTTAGTTTTGTAGTTTATTTTAGGAATGAAGTTTTTGACCTACCTGACGTGTATGAGTGGAGATGAATAGCTTGGTGGTTAAGATGCTTGCCACCCAATCCCAGGGTCCTGGGTTCAATTCCTGCCACGGTAACAGGATTTTTCTCACGACCAAATTAGTGTATGTAGGGCATCTTATGTTTATGTTTGTCCTGTGAAAGGATATGCCACTTAGAGAAAGTGATTAAGTTCACTGTTTAGCATATCCTTGGCCTTGGGCCTAAAGAAAAAGAAAATTAAAAACCGTACTAGGAATGTAAATCCGTACTTCGCAAGTAAGTAAGTATTTGGGAACTCGAGCGTACAATAAAACGACAGGTATGGGCAAATGGAGGTTCTGATTGGGGTGGGGCATGGATTAAGGTTAAGTGGAGGGGCGCGATGTTTAACTAAAGGGGCGCTACTGGAAAAGTAAGGTGATATATGAGGCGATTTTAGTCTTGAGGGAAATTTTCTCAGCAAATTTCAAGTGAGCTAGGTGGGAAGCCTGGAAGTGGCAAACATTTTTTAAAGGGTCGTGTACCCTCCACACCCACGCGTTTATACGTGTTTGTGTGTAAGATGACAATATGACAGACATTTCGTAGTCAGGATTTTTTTTGTAACTCACAGCTGACATTTCGTAACCAAGACATTGCATGTTACGGACCGCCTCGGCTGAGTTACGGAAAGTCCGGGTTACAAAAAGTCCGGGTCACGAAAGCTTGACAAAGTATGACTCTCTTTTGTGCTGCCACCGATATAAACTAGAAACGTGTATAAATCATTTTCTATTATTATAATGAATTATAATGGAAACGTCAGTGTCCCTTTTTATTGTATGTGAGGAGGAGGAGGAACAGACACTGATTGTCAAGGTGTAGCACATTGTAATGACATCTTCTTTAGGTATATTATAGTACACCTATATCATGAGCGTTACTTCATTGATTTGCATAAGTGCAGTGCGTGGACACAGTAGGCCTAAAAATAATAAAGATTGTCTTTGTGTAAGTTGAGTAATACTCGTTAGTGCAGATACGCAGATTGTCCTTGGCCTCGTGTAATATTGAAACGTTAACGAGTATTAATGCTCTGCCTTGTTATAGGCCTATGTGGTTCCAGGTTCTATTTTTAAACGGTAGACGTTATTCCTTGACAGCTACCGGTACTGTTGCTTTTTCACTTCTTCACACGCACGCTGTTGTTACCGGTTTTGATTTACTAGTTGATTGATACCTATACCCATTTAACTTCGAATTATCATTAGGCCTACTACTTATACTTTAATGACAGTAATGTCAATTTAGTACGAGTTTTTACTAACATATACATGTTAATAATGAGGACGAGTACTTCTTGGTTAAATACACTGTACCTCTACGGGTACTGCATATTATGTACGATTAAAAACTGGAAAAGCTTTATGGATTGTGAAGGTAGAAATCTAGAGGCTATAGATTTATTTTTTTCAAATTTAGTGAGAAAATGGTTGAAAAACACATTACTTTGAGTATAGATTTTAATTTTGATTCAAATTATAATACAGTTTTCTTTTCTTTTATTTTATAAGAGCCAGTAAAATTTTGCCCAGAGTCAGTGTCGATTTCAGACTCAAAATATTCTTATGTTGTTCTTATGTTACACACTTTTCAAACCTACAAAATTATTATTGTACAGCAGTATACACTGTACTGGAATGTACGTATAAAAGTGGAACTGAAAAATATGGCCTCTGAAAAAAATGGCCCTAGAAAAAAGGCTCCGGTAAAAATGGCCCCAAATGACAGGTAGGTACACCTATATTATAGAGGATATTACACAGTCACACCTATTGCCTACATAAGGTACATATATAATATTTTGGTTTTTCTATTTCTTTATAATAAAAATCTCATTTTACATTTTTTCTCAGCCTCAATTTGTTCTTTGTTCTTAATTTTCAAGCAATTTCAGCCTCAGTGTTCTTTAAAAAAATGTGTAGGGACAGTGAATATATATTGATATCAAATTCAGAATTAAAAGATGAATGCAAAAATATCAATATATTATAGTTATCATTATCATCATTATTATAATCATTATCATCCACATCATTATCATAAATTTATTCTTCATCATGACAATCATCATCGACACCATCATTATTATTATTATTATTATTATTATTATTATTATTATTATTATTATTATTATTCGTTAATGTATAGGCCAACACTGATGTTGCCCCTGCTTACTGAATAGAAAATTATAGTGAATTGAATTAAATTCTTTAGGTATTAAAGATTTAATTGTAAATATCTTTCAATAGAAAAATATTATTTCGATATTCTATTACATTCTCTTAGTGATTTCATCCAAATGAAATTAGACACTGGGAAATTCATATTCGAACAAACAATTGTTAATTTGAAATTTCCGGCAAAATATAATGGGAATCTCCCTTGGAGAAAATATGTACACTTAATCTTACGATAATTAATTGGAAAGACCTTGGCGTAGCGACAGTGCCTTTTTTTGTAATCAAATATATTATTCTGCCTGATATTTAACTATTAAAGATTGACAGAATTAGATCGGGTGATCTTAGCTAATTTAGAACCCAACGGATATTGCGCAAACAAGACCACATGGGCACCTCATGAAGGGGCCAGTCACCAAACAGGTGGAATTACATCTCAGAAAATATTGTACTGTATTTTACCAAAAGCTTGCTGAGTTCATTAGATGTCAGAGTTGTTGATTCAGTGCAAGCTTGTCAGACGTAAGGAAGCTGAAAGATCAGGCCACAAACCTTCGCCAATCAGCTGATGCGAGTCCTGTCGGGAGGCAAAAAACAACCCCGGCAAGAAAAGAGATGATAGAACAAGCGCATGCGCATGTGTGGGCGTGTGTTAGGAGTGACAGATATGTGGTGGGCAAATGGCCAGTGCGGGCCTGGAAATCCCATGACGTCATCTTAAGTCTTCCCCTTAAAAACTTGGTAATTTTGAGTAATCGTTCCTTTCCCAAGCTCATCAGCTGTAGCGTGGAGTGGAGAAAACTGAGAGACAGATCAGGGTTCTATTTCAAAGTACAAGGTAAGACTAGATCCACAGGTATATAGCTTATAGGCCTAATTGCATTTATTTGTTTGTAAATGTAAATGATAATTATATAAAATGCTATATAATGGTTAATAAATTAAATTGAAATACATTCTTAATTAAGCGTTTTTAAATTAGTAAAAACTTAATTATTTATGAGTTATTATATTAATAAAATAAATAATTACTGATAATGTGTTAACCCAATAAATTATACTGTGTTATATATTGTTAATTTTTTTTATGTTCAGTTTACTTGGTAAAAACTGAAAACAATTTGTTTAAGGGCCTCAACTGAAATAAGTTTTTATATTTTAAATACTTCTTGGGTTACCCTAGGAATTAAATTTCTTATATATAATTTTTTATCTGTTTCTTTGTTTTTGTTTTGTATTAAGGTTATATCTGATTTTAATTCCTGAATAAAATGAAATGAAATATAGTAAATAAAATTATGACGTGTTTTTTAGTCCAGAATTTATGACAGACGTTAATTTGATATTTGATTAATATTTTGCCATAGGCCCTATGTTTTTTAATTCTGTAAATTTTAATATATATTTCATAAAAAATTAATTTTCGTTCTGCACTTATTTTCTACATTGCTTAAAAAAGTATGTGTTTGAAGTATATTATATGTATACAAGGGGCGGGAGGTAGGGTGTGTTGTCCACGCATAGTAGGTCTATACTAATATATTAATATATTATTATTAATAATAATAATGGTATATATATATATATATATATATATATATTATAGGCCATTTTGCATTTGAGAGTTCCCGTGGTGCTCCTGAAATCAGCTGATAAGTGAAGTACCGGCATCGTAGCTGATGCTTACATGCACCTGTCGTATATAAGTTATAAAAAAAGCCCTGTTATCGTACTACATTAGGCCCCTATTAAATAGACACCATAAGGACTTGGAAAGTGTGACCAGAAGGATCAGTGGTTCAAAAATGCCCTGGTAGCCTAAGAATACATTATTATTTTTTGTCATTTATTAAAACCTTAGGGATCGTTCACAATTTTTGAAAATTTTCACAAGTGTACAAACAGTACGCTAGAAGGAGGGGGTAGGCAAATTTATACACTTTTACATGTGCATGAAAAAATACATGCAATATTCAGAATAATAGATTTTATGAACAATTATAAAGCAACTATGGATATAATTGAGATTTCAAGCAACCAGGTAAAGTACTTCAGTTAACATCACACAAAAATGGAGAATGATTTTGAAAAATCAACACTTTTTTTTATGTACACTTTCAGAGGGGGAGGGAAGGGTACCGAAAAAGAGTGCTGTTTGTATACTTGCGAACATTTTGATAATTGTGAACGACCCCTTACTCTCCGTGTCTTATTATTTTTAGTAACCTTTTCCTCTTTCTCTTGTGATTTAATAACGTTAAGTTACCAAAGTCATGCAACCTGAATTGCTTACGTGCATATAACTTACATCTTCATGCTGGCCTACGTGTAGACATATTATTACATTTCGCTGATTTGCAGTATATGAAAATCATTAACAAACGTTTGTTAAATTCACGTACTTGGAATATCATAGGATATGATGGTGATGATGATGATACTAATAACAATAATAATTTAATAATAATAATAATAATAATATTAATAACAATATTAATAATAATAATATTAATACTAATAATAATAATAATAATAATAATAATAATAATAATAATAATAATAATAATGATACATATTCCTATTATTATTCCGAGGTACTAATCTTAAGATATATTTTAGAAATGTAGGCTTAAATATTATGCATTTTACAGTCCATAAACCAATTTTTCAAGTGGAAAAATGGTGGTTACGCCCTTCCCTCCGCCAAAGTTTTTAAATATTCAAAATTCTGTACCTCATTAACCGCTCCCGAATTTTCCGTCAAATATGCTTTTTGTGTCTTGTCAGTTGTAGGCCTACAACATATCAACAAATATTTTTCCTCCGGAGCCTGGCGTTAACTAGTTGCCTGCTAAAATCTAGAAAATATAACCATCGGAAAACACCCCATGAGACTATTACGAAAATCCTGCTCGATACATGGGGTGCTCGGATGGGGTGATCCTCATTAATTTAATCAGTTGTTGGGAATCACCAAAATGATTCGAAGTATAACCGTGTTGGTATGCGATTGCTTCTGTGTTTATAGTGATGGCGATGAATGACGACATACAGGACTGGTATTGCGAAACCGTAATGAATGAAAGTACAGTACAACTACAAATTATAGTAGTTGGTAGGCTAAATCTCTTTTATGTTTTAATTTTATCGCTGTTTAATTGATGGGTTTGTCAACAACTCTGTGTATATGGCGGTGGATTGATTTTCTTCTTAGATTACTTTTATATTAAAATACATGCCGTAGTACTATTAATAGAGGAAACTCATAAAAGAAAATAAATAAGTCTTGAGTAGCTCATAAAAAAGAATAAAAAAAAGTTATTAACTTTCAACCTAAACAAATCGAAAGAAATAACTTTTGCTGATTTAGAGACACCTACAAAATCCTTAAATTGTATCAGCAAATTAAAGATCTGTCTGTTAATATCTTTTTTTAAATATAAATGTACAAGTTAAAAGTAGTAGATTCAAATATAGAATATAAAAGATGTTAATTGTTATTAATTTAATATAACCTTTTAAAGTATTAACACTACTTGCAAAAATTAGTACTTTCTTTGTAATTGCCTGCAATTTACATCCATATTTGTCTTTAACTGCTTTAATAAAATTACCCAAAACGCTTTTATGATATGTTTGACTTTAACGTAAACATATATCTAAAACACGAGATCTTCTTCATCAATTAACCTCTCCATCCGGTACCTCAATCTTTCAGCAAAGCATTAGATATTCTCGTGCAAAACTCTGGAATAACTTGCCTCCTGTGATGAAGAATATTACAACATTAATAGCTTAAACAAAGAATCTTAAATCTAATATATTTTAAATAGATAACCCTAATTCAAATGTAAGATTTGTTAGCTATTAATGCATTTAATTATTATTATTATTTATTATTATTATTATTATTATTATTATTATTATTATTATTATTATTATTATTAATATGGAAATGTACCTTTCGTATATATATTGTTTAGATTTATTCTTAAATTTTGTCGAATGTTTGTATTGTTTATGTCATCCCTGCTACAAGCATGTTGCTTATTAGGTGATGCCACCAATGTTCTTGTATTATTTTGTAATGGAAATAAATGTTATTGAATTGAAGAAAATATATATATATATATATATATATATATAGGCCTATACATATATATATATATATATATATATATATATAATATTAGTATACGTTTTATTACAAATGTGATATTTATTGCAAGTAGTGTTACTTTGATAATAAAAACTAAATGGAATGAAAAGAGGTAATGGGTTAGCAAGGAACACTAAAGAAGGTTAACCAACGTAAAACATTGGATTACACGATTCTTTTGATTTTTTTAAATTATTATTAAATGAAAGATAATCCGATAACATAATTAACTAATGGACCGGAAAACTCACTAAAAACAGAAATCTCGTGCACACTCAATGATTTCAACATAGTTTTCTGCCCTAGTTATTGGCGCTCAATTCTTGTTAACGGGCCTAGGCAAGATCTTCAGCAATGTGCAAAACAGTATTTGGTTTAGATAAGGAAACAAAAAATCCTATCGTATTTGTTTCCAAATTAAGCCTCTTATTGCATGTAGGCCTATTAATAAATAAACTACACAAAAATATCAAAATTTAATGTCTAACCCATAACTCATGACTATAGGCCTACTGTTTATATAAATACCCGGTTTTTGATAATATAGTTACGATACAAAATGTCGTAGGAAATTTCCCGAAGTAGCTCACCCGGCATCGCGCACAATGAAAGGGATGAAGCGATGATACAAAAACGACCGACATTTTTAGGATCCGTCTAACAAACAAAAATAAGGCTATTCAAAATTTGGTGGGTCTTTGCCTGAAAAAATATTTCCCGGGTCTTAATAATATATCCCTGGATTGGAAAACAGCTGAAACATAAAGATGAATATAATAATAGGCCTAAAGCAATCTGAAAGTTTAGCGCCAATCAGCGGTATATATTATAAAGTATTAATAAACGTTCTTTCAGATAGCGGTTTAGTCCAAGGTCTTAAAGTAAACAACAATATCAAGGCCATTTCAACGCCAGCGGTCTGTATGGCCATCAATCAATTGTCAATTAGGCTACCCTGGACAACAAGATCCTGATACTTGCGCTACACAGCTGTTTAAGTACACCCTGGATGGGCGGGATGTCGAAGTGCTTTCTATATTAATCTAACATTTAACTTGACATATTTAAAAAATTGTAGCCTGGCTGAATCTTGAAAAATGCTTAGATATGCTATGGTATTAATTCAGGTAATTTCCGGCGTCCTATTCAGAAGTTTAATAACAATGGAACCGATGATTTTTAAAGAGGGTGACTCACACCTCGGAGGCGTCGAAGACGTGTACATGGATTAAGAAAGTTTGTAGCTCTGAACAATTTCTTTAATGCATCGTGCATGTAGATAAATATTACCACAAGTAACATGATCTATTATGCCTTTGTTGTCTTTTTAGATCCCGATTATCATCAAAAGAAAATGTCTCATGGTTTATTGTTGATCCTGATTGCCGCCCTCTTCGGTACTATTAAGGCTTGCGGTCCAGGTGCTCCACGTAAAGCTCGACCAATTCCACCAAGGCCGATGAAACGCGACATACACCTGCCTTCTACAGAAACTTCCGATCTGAAGTCCTTAATGTTTGACGTAGATAAGACGAAAATAGACATAGTAAAAATGACTGAAGATTTATTCACATTATTTGATCAAGACGCAGACGGTTTTGTGACAACAGATGAGATTTCGACTGCCCGCGAAGTAGAAAGCTTGACTAATGCTGTATGGAAGGCTGATAGAAACGGTAAGACCAGAAAAATATTGCAAATGAAATTTTAGTCCGATGAAAACATAGGCCTAATTTCATAAAACAGTTTTGAAAATGTCCTCTTTTCTTTTTAACAGGTGACGGAATTGTAACACTCCAGGAATTCCAAACAATTATGATGTCATGACAGACCGCAGGTAACTAGGCCTTTGTCGTGTAGTTGTTAGTGGTATTTAATCAAGGTGCTAACATTCATCAAAAGATTATTTTAATATGTTGGTATTTTATACTAAATGTAAAATACATGCTTGACTGTTTTTAACAGCTGTTGCAGTAAAAATGTAACATTACTTTGTGACTTTGAAAGAATTTGTTACAATTTAGAGGCTGTGTTCGTAAATTCAATTTCCCAAAACGATATATTGGCATCATATTTAAATATTTTGTCAGATATACATTACAAAGGTTGTATTCGGTTACATACGTTATGATTAGATGTAATTCATAATATTATTTTAAGTAAAAAATACCGCCTTTATGGTATGCATCGGTTGTCAAACTTGATTTAAAATCCTGGTATGATGTACACGAAAAGGATAAGTCAGGAACGAACGTTTCAATCGTCTGAACAAAGCCACTTACAGTGCACCCTCCAACTCTAGACGCCTCTAATTTCTAGACCCCTCTAATTCGAGACCCCTCTAATTCGAGACCAATTTTTTTTTGCAAATAACCAAATAATAACAACTTTCCATCTATTAAAACTAAGCTAACCCTCTATGTATGTGGAGACTAAATCCCAAGACCACCCCACAGTTTGAGGTTCCAAAGGTGGGTTCGAATTGGAGGGCAAACTGTACTTGCTTATTAAGTGTTTTGATCCGAAAAAAATTGTTGAAGCAAGTAAATATTACATACTTATTTAATACTAATCTACAGTATATTTCAGTGATAACTACGTTACATATCCTCATCTTTACTTAAGTGAATTGGAGATACAAAATCATTACAGGAAAGCTTTTACTTTGCAAATTATTCGTCAATTTTTACCGTTGTGATGTAAAAAAAATGCTCATTATTAAAGTTTGAAATACAATGTTACTTCGCATGTAATTGTTCATTGCTGGTGCGACTGCTTAAGTGTAATGCTCTGGCTGATGTTCGAAGTGCATGACCCCATTTCATACTGTGTACCCTGTGGGTGATTGTTTACGGGCTGCAACCTAATACAAGATCTATTGACCAGTCACAATCTTTTACATATTAAAGATATACTGTCTTTCTTGAGCTAAAGAAGCAAATTAAAGTAATGTATTTAACTTGATTACTGTGTATATTTAAGTCAGTTTATTAACTTTCAATGAAAAACTTGAACGTAAATATATTTTAATATCAGCTAGGCAAATGCAGCTACTGCTACTCATCTTTCTATTTTTTGTCTCTTTTTTTGTCCCTTCTTTGTCTCTTTTTTTCTATTGCCCATATACTTTCTTCTCTGTTCATTATGGCCTTTCTCTATATTTTTTTCTGCTGTTCTCATCTCTGTTCGCTTTTCTTATTTCTAGTACTTTCCCCTTTTCTCCAATATCTCTTCCTGCTATTGTCTTCCAACTTCTCATTACTCACATATCTTTCCTCTTCGTTTTCTTCCTTTTCCCCTTTCTTTCTATAGATTCTTCTATTGATTTTAATTTCAATTTTATTTATTTCTCTTTATAAATTCTCCAGTACTTGTTCTCTTCCTTATCCTCTCCCTCCTGCTTATCCTCTCGTTTAAGGGTTATGTAAGGTATTCTTTTGTTATTAATTCTTTTTCAAATAATGGTGTTTATTATTCGTGTTTTCACAGGTTAACAAACTCTGTCGCCAAAGTAGCTGATTGATGTAATCTGCCGAGTGCAATGTAAGATGAACCATGCTCTTCATAAAAACGGCACCAAAGATGACGGCGCACATTAGCATCTCAATCTTTATGCCTTTGTAGCTTGCTTCTTCGAGTCCAAAAAACAACCAATACAGTATATAACATACAGTACCTTGAAAAAAATTCAAGATCATCCTGGTTAACTGTTTGACAAAAATGTACCTTGTAACTTAGATACTTTCCAATTGGCTTTCTATGAAAATTGTTTACAACCTTTGTAGGTGCGTACTAAACTTCCAAAGAATGAATTGATCGATACATTTTACTCAGAAACACTCAGTTCAACAAGCACCATGCTGTATTTTGTAAAATTTGCCACTGAAATGACGGACTAGTACGGTATTGAATGCAGAAGAAAACAAAAATATTCCAATTTGTAATCTAGAGAACCCACTGCTTATCTGAATGGATCTGATATCAAATATTAAACAAATAGATAAATAATGATATCATAATCGTATCAAGCATAGCCTTTGAAGAAAATTCATTTATAAACTCACAAACAATTATGTTTTTCTGTTTAGAACCGTGAACGCAATATAAACATAGGTAGATTTGTTGAAGGACAATGCTTGATACGAGTATAATCCATCTGATCCTGTATTCGAGTAATGGTATTTACAATAATTACATTAAGCAAATATGTAAGTTGTTACGTACGTCTACCAAAGTTTAATATTCTGTAGTTCATTACAAAAACAAGCTATAATAATAATACACTATAACAATTCTTATAACAATTATAGACCTAAAAGTAATACCATTACATTATAGCACATCTTGAAAAAAGTGTCAATGTGCGTTTTACAAGAATATCATCCTCTGGTAATTTATGTCAGATTAAATAAAGTAGCTGCGTTAGTATGAAGTCTACTATTAGATTGTTGTCTGTCAGTAACTCAACAGACAATGTTTTATCAAACTGATGAAAAACTTTGAGTCATTTGTTTGATAATAGTTTTCTGAACCAGAATACACTCTAAAGCAAAATCTGATCAAACAGATTGGTGATAATTCCTGTACTGTACATCCAGCGTTCATTTTAAGTATATTATAACCATAATTAATAATTAAACATAGTTACAGATACATTTACACACAAAAAAATCTATTTTCGCTGGATTACACTTGATTAAGCCCCGTCCGTTGTGGAAAGCTTGTTTAAATTAAATCCTAGTTGAATGAGATGTGACTACAACAACAGTATCCGACCAAAAGCAGCTTCTAATCTCTGTTTAATTTGTGTGTGATTAGTTTTTCAAAAGAATAAACTCCATCTGACTTGAATGTTGAGGCATAACTGCCATATTGTAGAACGTTCATAACAATGTGTTTATTTTAGAGAATATTGTTACCTCATCAATCTATTTTTACTTTCGTAAGGTTTTCTATATACAATAGTAAAAAGAATAGTAAAAAAGGTTTCTCGTGATGACTTTTTTCAATAAAATGTACTGCACGCTTGGTGAATTGTCTTACGTTCTGTCTTTAAAATGAGAATCATTCTATGAGTGAATAAACTTTATTCATTATTAGAACATACATTTCAGAAAATAAATTATTGGATTAAAAACGCCAAGGATATCCACAGGTTTTTAAAGACTTCGGAAGCGAAGTTCTTCTGATGCGATTTGGGCAGTCGGTCTACATCTGACAAAACCAACAGATTAAATGTCTTCCGAAAGACGCGCTTATAATATCTGAATGTTTTCCCTCTAGCTGGAATTAAACCAGACACCAAGGTTATGTACAAACGTACACACATACCCACACCCCACACACACTGGCTACCACCATTTAAACCCTGTGCCTAAAGCTGAATAATAAACAACGAAACGAAGAAACGTAGAAACAAATGAATGAATGAACAAATGAACCACTGACCTCCATAATCTATAAGTGGACATCAGTGGAATGAACGGATGAAAGAATGAACGAATGATTGAACGAACGAACGAACAAACGAACGTACGTACGAACGAATGAATGAACGAACGAACGAAAGAAGAAAGAACGAACGACAGACCGACCGACCGACCGACCGACAGAATGAATGAATAAATGAACGCTTGGTGAGTGTGCACTGGTCAGAATAGGTACAAGGCCCATAGGCAGGTTCTTCCAACGGGGTGGGGGAGGGAGGTTCTCTTGTCGTGAGGTCGAGGCCAGGGCCCCCGTCGGGGAGAAAAAGCACAATTCGTCGGGGAGAAAAAAATATATGTATTTTTTACAAGACTATAATCGATTAAATAAGACTATGAAACCCCTAAATTGTCGAAATTTTCGGGGCCTTTGCCCCTTCCCCCGACTACTTTCGGAGGCTTTTAATCGAAGCTCGACCACGCCCACTTTGCTTTCGTCGGGGAAATCTGACACCTCGTCGGGGGA